ATCATTCGTCTCAATGTGAGTGCGCAAATGACATTGACATCGTAGCTAATCGGTTACCGATTTTTAGAAAACCCATCAGTTATATTAAAACAATGCAACGGTTATACACAGAAGTTGATTTATTGAGATCTAAAGAATATATTCAACTTTTCCCTAGTGATATTCATATGGATAGAAATGTCAAAGCCGCCTGATATCAGGCTTCCTATAAATATCAGTGTCGGAAGTTAAATTCAGTGCTAAACCAATATATTTCGTCAATTGACATTGTGGACAGTACGCAACAATGTTCGCAATTTCAGAAGTCAAAATACTAAGGTTCTTGTGAGTGCTCGTAGTTTAAGCTACTACTTGATGTTTGTTGCGAAGAGGCAAGCAATGTCTAAAATTTACAGATTTATAAGTCACGTAAATCTTTATTTTAGACATACACACTTAATTCAGATCACCGAAGTCGGTAGGAATTTATCGGGTTTTTGAATAGCAGAACAAGTCGGTAAAATTTTCAAATGACCGTTATACTTGTGAAATAAAAAAAAATAAAAAAATATATTTTTCATCAATAAATGGGGTAAACTGAACAAATTTTGTACAAGAATAAATTTTCTAATAATTGGATTTTTCACTGATTTATAAACTTTTACCGAACACCGTTCTGTAGCTCAAAATTTACCGAACGATGAAGGCCTGGATTAGTGTGTATTTCGGGCAACTTTGAAGTTTTTAAATTCGATTCAATGGTGGAATTTTTGCATAAGTATAAGTGTGTGGTAAGTACAATCATACTCTTTTGTCCAGGGGAGTCGAGAAAATTTCCAACCCGAAAAAATCGTAGACCGGACAGAGAATCGAACCCAGCCACCTCTTGCTTTGTAGCTTCGCCTTTACCGACTGAGCTAAGCTACTCCTACATATATGCAACCTAAATATTATCATACATAAAGCAGAACAGGTAATATAGACAAAGAAAAATCAGCGAGATGATTTCATTATCCTAAGCTAGCCCGTTTCTCGATTTTTTTTTTTAAATAGGTTGAGAGAGCGAATCATCTCGATCGGGAACTTTTAAGCTGATTTCGTTCGCGATTTTTGCACAGCTAGTTTTTCAGTGAAAAGATTCGCTGAAGACCAGCGAAAGCACTTTTTTAAATTACTCAGACCTTAATTAAAATTACTTTATGGACTAATCAATCTTCACTCAAAATTTCAAGTCAATTGTAATAAAATTTGAAAAGTTAAAGCTATTTAAGTGTGTGGCATTTTGATTGAATACACTCTTTATAACATCTAATTATTTCAAAAATCCGAATTTTTTTATATCGTTGTGAGTGCATTCCTGTCCACAATTGAAAAAATAAATAAATGAGAACTGCTGCCTTAAATGAATGTTGCCTAACTATCAATCAAAGTTTAAATGCATTTGGCAACTGTTTTGGCATATCAAAGTAGTGTGAATGTAAAATATTTAGTGAATGTCAATCGCTAGGTGAAAAGTAAATCACGCTATACACATTTTTTCAGGTATTTTTCAGTAACGGAACTTTGAGCTTTTGAAAATTATTGTCAATTTAGAGAAAAATAAGCATCCTGTATCGAATAGTTAACACCATATCATTTGTAATGTTTATTTTTTCTATGATTAAGCAATAGATATATGCTCTAAAAAGCATTTTAATTTTCATAAACTAACATATTTTTCATTATGCAGTAAACCTCTCTCTCCCAATTCCTGACTTTTAACGCTTTTTTCACGAGAGTTTTACTCCCAACTGTGTTCTTAAAGTAACTATAAAAGGAGTAGAATTCGTATATTTGTAAACTGATTAAAAATTTCATTGATGTTCATAATATTCCTGCCGATTTTTGATGAAAATCTATGAATATTTAACTCACTCATAGGTAATCTCACTTTTCTAGATTTTGAGACGATTTCAACTCTCATCGGCCGTGTATGCCCAATCAAGTCTAGAAAATGTCCAACCCGAAAATTTTTCTAGACCTGAGTTGTACTCACCACCACCGGTAATACCGTGCTTTAACTGAATAGGCTATCTGGAGCTTATTCCTTAAATGGGTTCTTCAGAGGTATTGAGGGAATTTCATATTCGTAGTTTATATTAAAAATGGAGCGAAATACAAAATTGCATCAATTTTGGAGCACTGGAGCTGATTTTAAAAAGCACGATTACAGTAGCAAAAATCACAATCTAGGGGCGGTACTTGAGTCGATTTTGTTATGCTATGTGTCGAAAAGCGACGTAATTATTTTGTTTTAAATTTCGATTTAATAAACCAGACAATAGTCTATGATAACGGATAACATATAATTAAGCTCATAAAATAAAGCTCGTTTAGACGTTATCTCAAAACCAATCAAATTTTTAAAAGTAAAGTACTCATTTTTTTTTTATTATTCTTCACACATATTGGTTTACCAAATCCGATTTTAATAAAAGTTACAAGACAGTATCGACAAGGCCTAACTTTAGTCTTTGTTTGATTTCATAACTTTATATTAGCCGTAAGTATGCCTTCCCAACAAACATTGGAAGCAGAATAAGAGCTTATTCAGGCAAAAATATGCTTCTTCAGCTAAAAAATAGCTTATTCAGCCTTTAATCAGCACAAATTGTTTGTTGGGTTATTATAGCTAACAAGCTAATTAGCGGATCTATAGGATGTTAGGCTGTTCACATTTTACGCTATTTGTTTGAAATTTACTACAAAGAAATCATAAACCACAATACACATTAACTATGTTTGTCAATTGACATTTTGAACAATTGGCATGAGAAATTTGGTTGATTGTCGTCAAATATTGCAGGCAAGATAGAGATCCGCACACAGCACAGAGAAGTAAACACATAACTGCGTGTTTTTTTTCCACGTCCAAAACGAAAAAGACGCATTAGCCGGTGCTCATAAAAAGTGCAAACAATATTAAGGTGATTCCTTGTTGAGTCCACAAATGGCCGCCACATAGGCTATACATGCACTTCCACTTCGAATTTTAAATTACACAAATCTCGGAAATCAGTGCTCCATTTTATTTTAAATTGCTACTTCATGTATACTGCAGTGCAGCAAACGTGGAGTAACAATTTAAATGTTGCACGTGTCGTAGAAGCTGTCACAGCGAATCACCTTAAAGTTAAAGAACTATCATTCCGAACGTTGGTTTTGATTACATCGAGTTTGGACCTTTTTTGGAACTTTACTTCACGGAGCATTATCTTTGCACACTTCTAGATAAATATTTCAAAAGGTTCTATCTGAGTTGATCAATTCTCTTCATCGACTCTCTCCTTCGTTAATAACTCAGCTGCAAAACCTTTGCCTGTTATATTTGACGTTTTGGACGGTAGATAAGAACCTGCTTTATCAAACTATGTGGTAAAAATAACGCAAAACCTTTTTGCATAGCAGTGGTTATCAAAAGAGAAAGTCGATGGAGAGAATCGATCAAAACAGATAGGACCATTTTAAATGTTCATCGAGACTTGTCTCTCTCTCTCTGATCTCCCACCATAGAAACAAATATATTAGGGGAAATGTATGTAATGTCGGCCTAAATGTCCCTAATTTGGGCCCATATATAAATTCAGCAATCGACTAAATTTTCAATAGCGACCAAAAGTATCCATTAGTACCGTCCTAATGACGCGTTCATCTCGATAAAATTGATAAATAGCAGACTTTTATAATAATAGCGCAAAGCACAACTGGATTTTATAAACCTTTTTTTACAGTTTTTCATTAAAATATTTTGTTGGCGATGAGATGCGAGTGCGAAGAAATTACGACAGTTTTTAGAAAATGTTTATTGCTAAAAATTGAACTTATTGATCGTTATAAATTTTGCCACTTCTATAATCGAAGTGGGATGTTTGAAATGTTTGCACATGTTATTTGAATTATTTCTTTATGCACTAAAGTTACACAAAAATAATTCTGACGACTTCAAGGTTATCCTTCTTAAATTAACATTCAATTTACTCGTCTCCTGATTTTAGACTTCTTGCAGTTGAGTCTCAATGCCCTTTAAAAAAAACTTTACAAATCTGGGCATCTTAAATTTTGAACACAGCTTCGTTATGGCCGCAAACTACATTTTTCTAAAACATTAGATGTCTAGATAATCATCTATCAAACTATTATTTAGGTAAGTTCTCGAGAAGCAATGGATAGGACAGCCATTTAAATCTGCAAAGAATTCCATTTACCTATTTACAAGTCACTTCGGATTGCAAAAAATATTTTTGACATTGCATTGGAGCAGTCACATATTGTAGGTTTAAGTATTATTTAAGCATAGTATTAAGTCTAGCAAGCGGCCACCTTGACACCGTGGGATCGATAACCGAGCCGTCCACAGAAAGTTCAACAAAAGCTATAAAAAACCCTAAAAAGTTTCAACGAATCAACTTTGCAACTACTGCTTCGATCAGATTATGATGAAAACAAAAACCGTGATCATTTTATTAATAAAAAGCCAAGCGTATCATGCAAAGGTTATATGTAAATATTGTGCGCTTCGCTGGAAGCTTCTTATCAAACTCTTACTTGCGGACATGCTTTCTTAATCGATACTATCCACTTACAAAGTATTATTTACTTACGAACTCACCTCACATCCACTTACCCCCCGAAAGAGGGCTGAGTTTATATTTATTCAAAATTTATTTACCTCTTTCTTTTTGTTTATATATTCTCTTTCTTTCCGTTTCATCAACAAAATACTTTATTAAATTAAATGCTTGTTATGCTTCTTTTTCTTATTCTCAAACCATCAACACAAAACAAATAAAACCCGTTCATTTGCCTCCACACACACCGAACCAACCTTTACCAAAACCAAAAAAACACAAAAACAACTAATCGGACCCCCACCACCCGCCCTTCACTCTTCCACACGAAATACACCAATTGCCAAACCATCCGCCAAACCCTCGAAAAAAAAAATCGACCATACCGTTCCAACAAACCAAAAAAAAATCTAGAATGCACCTGTATCCGCTGTGGCTGCCGTTGCCGCTGCTGCCGCTGCTACCATGGGCACCCTGCCGCCGCCACCGCCACCAACTACCGGGGCTGTCAATTCGACGTCCTTGCCAATTAGTCAAACTCCCCTGGAAGCTGGCAAAAAGCGTGCGGCCGATAATGACATGATACAAATGGTACTTGCGTTATACTTTTCCGTTTTGTTTTCATTGTTTCCGTTACTCTCTCTAAAAAAATCCCATTCTCCTCGTGTTTTTATTGTACCTTTTTTTTCAATTTTCGTTAGAATCCCAACCAAACTTGTCTTACCCAAAATTGTTTTGTGATTTTACTTTAACGTTCTAATTCAAAATTTCTAAATTTTTATGTTTCCTACCCTGTTTTGTGTATAACTTTGCAGTAGCTTCGCATGCTTTTGTTTAAGTTTGCTTTTTTGATCAAGAAAAAATCAAGACGGAGAGTTTTGAAAATCAAAAACTCGAATGATACAGAACCAAAGTCACAGAATCAAAGTTGCTAGCATGTATGCCTTATGAGAACGTATCCAACCGCGCCCGATCGTATCATTTTTGCGTCGAAGACTACACGTTTTATATCTCTTTTTGGTTGCGCCGCTATCTATTGTTTTGTACATTTTCTGTTATCTTCACGCGCATCACTACTACTACTACTTTCAAAGCGAACGCTCATCCGTGCCAAACACGCTTATAGGGTAAGGTCAGATACGAGTGCCTGTGTGTATATGAATGAACTTTGAATAGTGTGCGTGAATTCTCTTCTAAAGTGGATGGTGGTTGTAGTTTGTGTGAAAGTGTAACAAACTGTTTTGCGCTTCAACATCATTCGACACTTACCGACGGTTTCTTGATAAATAATTATAAATATCAAATTGTTTTCATCATAATTTACGCGTTTAAATAAACCATCAAAAACAAAATGGAAATAACTAACCTAGGAAGCAGAAGCATCGCTGGAGCAAACATCCTCGCAACTTTAAACCTGATCGATCTGAAAGCAAACCGAAAACAAGACGAGTTGTTAGTGCTAGTGAAATTTTAAAAGTAATCCAAAAATAAATTGTCAGGATTGCTCGAAATCCGGAAGTCATAGTTTTAAGGTTTATCATTTTGTATTTCTCTTTTTATCATTTCCTTTTTCCTTTTGTTTCATTTCTGATTTGTTTGTATAAATATACTAAACATTTTTCGTTTAGCGCCGCTGTCTGTACACCTAACTAATGAGTGTTTTATTTTTCTCGCTTTTTCTTTCTCTCTTCTCGCAACACAACACAACTATAAACAACGAAAAAAAAAACTTCCACACAACAATCCAACAATCCCCGACAAAACCTTCCCACCCTTATTCCTTGATTGTATCTATGTTGCGCTCTTATGATGTCGCTGTGTGTGCATTAAATGCGTGCTGTCAAATGTTTATCAAACACTCGTATCACCATGGGATCAATCCACACACAAACATGTACACATCGTCCCACATACCGCACACATGTCCGTGCTGCTTATCTCCTACTACTACAACTACTCGCGAACCTACAAAATACTACTCCTACTACCACTACTACTGCACATTCGCACCCACCAGATGGACATGAAAACGATGGGATCTTTTTACTATGAAAACTTTGTAAGTAACCATGCATATTTCCTTGTTTTGTTTAGTTCTTTCTTTCCGGAACTTTTTGGTTCATTTGGTTATATTTTGTTTTATTTTGCAAACCCTTGCATCAAACGTGCATTTTCCTTCATTTTCGTTTTGGTAAATCTATTAATGTTTCAATCATTGCATTAGAAGTAGAAGACAGTAATTACCGAACATATTAAGGATTGGTGTCTTGGCTAGAGGCTTGAAATTTATGAAAAACTAATCAATGAGATATTTCAGTAAATAAAAGCCAAACCTCTTTGTGCAAGACGCTGTAGTTTGAATTGCTACTGTATCTCTCCTACTATCTCTCTTTCTCTCTCACTCTCTCTCTCTCTCCTGTACACTCTATCTCTATATCTCTACATCTGTTCCACTACAGTTTCTCTTGAAAGATTCTCCGAATGACATAGACATGTGTTAATTTGTAAATTTGATTACCTACTAGCATAGTTTTGCATCAAATACTGCCAACAGTTCTGGAAATGCATTGTGAATTTGGTAACCAGATTTTCTACATGGTTTTTCTTTTTCTCTTCTTTTCTACTTGCGTGCTACAAACACTTCCGTAAATGCGCTATGTGTGCAAAATGTGTGTATAGGCTTTCCCCGGAATGGTACCATACAAGCGATCCGCCGCTGACAAGTCCGGAATCCCAGTTTACCAACCTGGAGCAACGACCTACCAGCAGCTGATGCAGCTACAGCAGCCATTCGTGCCAGTGTCATGTGAGTACCCAACACCCAGTCCTTCAGCCACATCTGCTACTTATGTTCCACAAACATCCACAGCAACCCTAATTGCTAATACCAGTAGTAGTAATAGTGCTCAGAGCACGATTCTGACCAACAGCAGTTATTATACTAGTAGTGGTAACAGTGTTAATATTAATAACAACAACAACAATAGCAAAGTAAATAACAAAAATTCGCCACTTGTTAAGTCACTCTCACTGCAATCGGTTTCGTCAATCGGCACAGGCCTGAGTCACCTGGCCAACGGACAAATGCACTCAGACAACGATCTTAGTATCAAGTCTGAATCGCTCCTCAGCGATAAGGAAGATCAGACGTCCGGCGAGGCTAACAGCAATGCTCTACTAACCCCACCAGCGACCAGCACGTCTACTTCGCAGTCCCAGGCGCTTGTATCCACTTCATCTACCCAATCGGTCCCGGTCCCAATCACTAGTGCAATGCTACAGTCCTACTCTTCAGCAGCCCATATTAACAGCTATAATGCCGCCGCCGCTGCTAGTATCCAAGCCCAAGCGCAGTCCTACCATGCCGCTCAGGCAGCTGCCGTTGCACAAGCGAATCAAGCCGCTGCGGCTTCTGCACAGTATTCCGCACATTACGCCGACGCAGCCAATTTGGCCAAGGAGGTTGCCCAGAAAAATTACGCTAACGCACTCAAAATGGCTGCCGCTTCAAATGCTCTAACCGGCAAACCACTTACCGCCCTCAGCTATACGGGTGTAACATTGAATAAATCTGGAGTCTTGCCTCAGACGCAGTCTTATGCTGCAGCTGCCGCCGCCGCTGCCAATGCCGCGGCCTCGCCCGCAGCAGCTCCCTCTTATCCACCACCTCGCATTGGTACTCCAGCCATGGCGAATCCGCAACAAACAATGCTTCCGGCCATTACACGACCACCGCCGCCCATATTGTCACAGGCAGCCTTCACACAAATGTTACGTCCACAAGTACAGACCAATTTCCAAAATCCGTACGCTGCCGCTTTTGCCGCTCAGCAGCAGTTTCTAAACCAAAGCCTCATGTACCAATCCTTCCCGGCCGGTGGATACCAATTTGGAAGCCCAATGCACTCTGGTATGCCCACCACTAACCTGACGGCGATACCCCAGGTTCAGCAAATGCCCACTAACGCCACTCCCGGCAGCGCAGTGGTACTTAACCCCTACAAAAAGATGAAAACTTCATAAGCTGGATCGGTGCTCCAGCATCCCCCATTTAGCATACGACACTCAATTTGCCATGCATAGTAAAGCACTCTCCCCCTTTCATACAAATGCAACCCATCTCGCACTAATCGTTGCCATGTTTCAGCGAACAATTCGCAAATATTGTGAACAGCAGAACATTAATTAAAACAATAAGAAATTGAAGATGATAGTGCCTGAAGAAAACACACGGAAAATTGAAAACAAAAACGTTCACCAAGAAAATAAAGATAAAACCTAATAGGAAGAGTAACACCATTTTATCGACAGTAACAAAAACATATTTTTAAAAACGATAGCATCGTTTTATGGAGAATAGTACATAGGATTAACAACACACACACACACACACACACAAAAAACACTTGATAATATTGAGTGATCTTGTCACTACGGTTAAGCAAACTAAGAATAGCATCAGTTTTTTTAGTCATATAAGTTAGTAAAGGTTAAGTGCAATTATTTTTGAATGAAAGATCACACAGGTTCTCAAGTGAACCCTAAAAATTATCTGCGACGTATTTGATTTTTTGTTTTCACTATTCGGTTATATTTTCCATACGGGTAGTTTGGTTTCTGCGAAGGAAAAAAACGGAAAATTTTCTTGTGTATAAGATTGTAAAATCAAAACAATGGAACTGTGATAGCTTCACACACACACACACACAACTGCATGCTGCAAATCAATCGCTTCAGATCGCACGCACATACAAGGGCACGATGCACACAAGAAAATTTTGTTTTGTTTAGTTAAAGTTTTTTTTTTTTCGTTTTGGAAACAATGCGTAGGGAATTTTTAAAGCTGAGCGTTATTATAAAATCAAATTTTGAAAATTGTAGTCATACTAGTGAAACCATTTTAGATGTTTTAAAAACAAACATAGAAGTGCATTTAGTTTTTTTTTTGTTTTTGTAACTTTTTGTTTATCTAGTATCATTAGGGACGTAGGAACAGTAACACTGTTACTGTATTTGTAAATATCTGATAGGAATCGATGAAAACGTTGTTGTGATAAGTTTCCTACTTTAACTAGATTTTGTGTTCCTTGATATCCATTTACTTGCTATTTTTGTAAACAGTTTTACATAGACATAGGTACGGTAGAACGTAAGATTTCAGTAAAACATTAACTATTGAATAACAGACGAATAATAATCAAAAGGTTGTGTGAAACAAAGAGTTGCAGTCGAGTATGTTGCCACAATGAGTAACTGGCAATTTCTCGGTTTTTCAAACAAACATGTTCTAAACCTCCTCGTGGTGGTTCGGTATGCAGCGCATCGACGCGATTTTCTGAACAATGAATATTAACACTATTACCGCTACTATAATAACTGCTAAAGCAGCTACTTAATAAATGGTAAACAAATTACCCACGTGCAACAAGTTTACTTACAACCATATAGTTCAATCATGGAATTAATTTCCCAAAACCGAGCAACGCTATTACTACTACTATTACTACTACTACTGCTACTACAGCTACTACAATTACTATTGCTACTACAACTATTGATACCGAAACAAGTGTAATGAACATGTGTTACCTAAAAAGTGGAAAAGAACATAAATATCGCTAGAGATATGACCGCTTAAGACATGAAATATAAAAGTGACTAAAATAGTTATCTTCTCACCAGTAATTAAAATACCACCCGAATTACACTCTTCTATGCTAAAATATATATATTTGTACTTGTATAATAAGCAAAAAAAAAGATCAAAACAATGTTTCTGCACGTACACTTAACACATACTACGCCTACTTTGTTCTACATTTTGCAATAAAAAAAATTGGTTTTCAACGTAATTTCGACCAGTCGATAGAATTTGAACCTAGTATCCATTGATCAAAGTATTCATTGTAGAGTTGTACCAACTTATAGAGACGATAACTAAAACAATCATTGAAAGTAAAAGCTATTTGCATCGATAATGAACATAACTTAAAACTAAGTATAGTAATGCAGTACTACTACTCCTCCCCCACACGAGTTGTAAATTATTGATAGGTCGAAAGTAAACTGCATGAGAACATAGGGGTTTCTGGAAGAAGGTTGAACCATGCTTAGTCACGTAATCACCCACGAGGAAGAGCCTCTGAACAAATGTAGTTTGGTAGTTGATTGTCGCAAATCATTGAGCATAAACCAACTTGAAGAATTGCAAACATTTAATGCTAAGCGTTAGAATGCTATTACTAATTCATTATACTTAACTCTAGATCGTCCCACACGATGTAAACAATAAAAGTAACAGTAAAAATGCTGAATAAAACATCTAGTGTTTAAGATTTGTTGCATTTTTGTTCAGTTTACATAGTTTTGTTGTGCTACCTTTTGTGAACATTGCCGTATTTTTGTTACTCTATCGGAACACAGTTTCCCTTTTTCGTTGTTATTGTGATTGAAAACGTACATAGCTATATAAATATAATTCAACTTTCCTTTTTGTTTGATCAATGAAATGAATTAATGAAAGTAACTCAATTTAGTTTGAAAGTATTTTTACTGTACCCTCTCAGTTGCGTAGAACATTTCTTTAGTTTTGCCTTACAAACACGCCTGGTATACAATTTGTAGTATGATTGTACGCCTTCAATGCTTTTTATCATCCCTCACGTTGCAATTCCTCACGTCACACCCACTGCTACCGCCGCCACTACCACCACCACCACATTCAACACACAGCAGCACTAACCACCTTATTTATCAAACTCATCGCTAATACTTAAATATTGAAACCATTTTAAGTTCACCCATATTGTCCCAAATAATGCTTAACGCCTTCACGCCCTGCATTTGCAATTATCATTTCCTACACATATGATTTTTTGTTTTTAAATGAACAATCATGGTATTTGTATCCTGCACTTACTATGCTCTTGATAAACAATATACAAAGTCATACTTCCGTGCTTTATAGAATCAACGCATACTAACTCCAATCATTTGCCACCATCATTCTGAGTAACGAGGATCTCGAGTTATGTTGGATGTATTTATCATATATTGGATCCGTTTTTAATAGAGGTCGCTTCAGTTTGACAGACTCTTATTGCTATAACTTATGTTTATATTATCATATATTCTCAACATTCAACATCTGTTTCGCAGAAGGAATGAGCTTTACAAAAAAAAATACACCAAATTTCTAAAAACGAACGGTTGATGGTCAGCAAAAAAGTTAAAACTGCTTTGTTTGTTTTATAAATGGGATATATTTTAATTAGAGATTTGATGTTTATGTATAGAATAATTATCGCTTCCTTTCTCTCATGTGTAAATTAAGGTTCATTTGTAAGCAACAAGTGCATCAAAAAAGGCCGTGAACAGTAGCGTTGTAACCGTTTCCAAGTGTAACTTTAGTTCTTAGCCAGCAGCGTATAATGCTATTTTCCATAAAAAAAAACCCTTTTCCGCCGCACAACACGTGATTGGATAAATACTGACACTAACACAAACCTACACACACACGCGTTCAAAAACTTCTTCTATAAACACGCACACTTCTTTTCGCTGCTAATTCAATGCCCTCTTGTTTATGCTAGTGAAAACCGCTTGATATCTTCTCTATCTTCATACTATAACGATTACTTTACACACACAAAGCTTCTGCTAAACACTGATGCGACCGGCGCCTTTCACAAAACTTTTTGACAAAACAACAGCAGGTGCCATACAACAGGTATTGTGCCATACGCCGTTGCGATTCTCCACACACTTTGCTGTTGCTTCTTCGGATTTTCTTGCCATACTCTAGGGATGGACAGTTTTGTTTTTCAATCAAAAAATGCACAAGGACACAGTTACAAAACAGGAACGAAGCTTTGCTACCGTGTCGATCAAAAGCGATGCATATTATCGCATTTTGACAGCTTATGTATCATTACAGTAAGGTACTTAACGGTCTAAAGAAAGATAAACTAATGTCAATCCTCGAGGAACGTGAAAAATTGAAAAGTACCTCATTAAACAATACTCAAAACGTGAATTCTTAAACCTACGTTCAATAAGATCTAACTAAATATAGCATGAATCCGGTAAATCAAAATTGTTGCCATTGCATTCCCAAGTAACAATATTGGTTCAAACATACTCTTATAGACCATGATCAGATGTTGCAAAAGTTCATTTTCACTGCAGGGATGTCCACTAAAATGCATGGAGGGAAAATGTACCGACATTTTCCCCTCTAACAATGTTATGACATTTACCTACTCTGACTATGATTTGGACTTGGCCAATTCATTAAATTATCCATAAAACTTCAGGATAATTGGTTGCTTGGGATTGATCGAAAGAAAATGAATTAAATGTCAAGTGTTATTTCCATATTTCATTGAGTCACGCGTATATGACATCTATTCTAGATGCAGTAAAGAGTACGGGATTTATGCTGTATACAAAACAGCCAAAATTACAGATGAGATTTGTACATTATTTTTTCTACGTTTATAACTCTAAATGAACTACATACTCATTGAGCAGTTTCACGCCAAATGACGAATCGGAAAATCTTGACCTTCTCCGATTTTTATTTTACAAAATGGCGTCTTTGTAATTTTTCAATAAATTGTGGCACGAAAAGATCACTGTTGATCAAAATGACGTCTGAGATAAAGTTTTAGAGAAAAATAAAGTCTTTCTGGGAAAAATATTAATGGTATTTTTTTAACTTATTTTGTAGGAAAACAATAAAAAAAAAGTGTTACAACTCATATGTGTCAAAAACTATATCTTCAATATTTTTATTTTAAAAACTCATTAAAGATGCAAACTTTTGAAACATTTAAAACCATGGACACAAGAAAATTGCGAGTACGCCTTTTTATTTCTTAACAGGAAAAAAATATTTGGGAAATTTTAAATCGTTATCTGTTCAAAAATTACGTAAAAGAGCTAGTTAACAAGAAGTTCAAATATATGACGAGGAGTTGATGTTCTACGATGTTTGTAATTTTTTAAGTATCCATGGTTAAAGTTTGTATTTTTCATGAGATTAAAAAATAAATGTTGAGTAATATACGGGAAACAGCCCTATTGTTGCGGTATGTTAGCAGCATTAGAGGCCTATTGTTGTGTATGGAGGTCTCCATACACAACAATAGGCTTCTAACGCTGCTAACGTGCCGCAACAATAGGGCTGTTTCCCCTTCTAAAGATATATGAAATATATTAGTTTTTAACACTTTTTTGTTTTGTTTTTGCTCAAAATAACAGGAAAAAATTTACCGTGCATATTTGTACCAGAATTACATAACTTTTCTTAACAACTTTGTCTCAGATGTCATTTCGATCAGAACTGACGTTTTAGTGCTACAATTTATTAGAAAATGTTAAAAACGT